CGCCCGCCCCGCCGCCGCGCCCGCCCCGCCCCGCCCCCCGCGGGGCCGCGACCCCCCGCCGCCCCCGCCCCGGCCCGGGCCCGGACGCCCTCCGCGGACCCGCGGTCGGCGCGCGCTGGGTCACGCCCGCCGCCCGCGGTCCGGCCCGAGGGACTCGTTGCTAAAAGTCCCGTCCCGGCTCGAGGCACCGCGCGGGCCCGGCCGGCGCGAGCTGGGGCCGCCCAGGGCCTCCCTCGGCCCTGCGCCTCCCCGGTGCCCGCGGCCCGATCGCCCGGGGACTCGCGCTGCTGCGGGAGCCGCGGGGACGTGGCTTTGTGTGGTGGACAGCGGTAGCTCCCGTCTGTCTTTGCTCTGAAAGGCGACACGTACTTCCAGCCGCGGGGAGATGGCTTGGGTACTTCCCGGTGGGCAGCCACGTGGGGCTTCCTATAATGTTTATTATAGGAAATGTCTTTAGTGGAAGGAAAAACGAGACACAACGCCACCATTTAAAATTATTTTGGCGAAGGACTTGGTATGGAAAGACGTTCATGATGTATTGAGAAGTCTGTACAGAATGATTCGATTTTGTCTTAAAACGTGTGTACAATAGCTTGGGCATATACAGTGCACCCTGTTTATGGGATGTACACACATGCATGCATGTAATGTTTATATGTCACATGCATGATATTTTATACATAACAGGTTGGGAAGCGTGTACATCAACATAGTCTAAACATTTTTTCTTTATTATTGAGACMACAGGCCATATATATCTAACTTTTTTCAACTCTTATTTCTATTTTGTAATTAAAAGAATATGTATTTTTATCAGGGGGAGAAAACTCCTTAAGCAGTAAAGGTGAGCAGCGGGTGGAAGGAATGCGGTGTGAGGCCTCCGCATAATGGTCTGGATGTATGTATTGTCTTTCAGAATTGCTTGTGCTCAGGGGACTTCCCCAGGGAGGAACCTGCTCACCATGTGGTCCAGCAGCTGGGATCTCAATCCTCTCTCTTTGGCCTGAACCCCACCGGGCCAGCAAGAGAGGGTCTTATCCCAGATTCATTATTTGTGTATAAATATGGAATTGGCCAGGGAACTGTCCTGGGGGAAGTCCTTGCTGTTAGGGGAGGCCTGACTTTCCTTTCTCCCTTGCTAATGCAGGGGTTTCCTGAGGCCTCCCAGGTCCAGGGGGTTGTCCCTAAGTGTAGGGATTTCCTGCCTGGAGCCCTGCCTTTTGAGTAAATCCTTGAAAGTTAAAGTCAACCTGCTACCCCCAGGCACTTAGGCAAATGCTCTGGAATCTGACCCCAATCCTTTTTAAAATTTTATTTTTATTTTTTTAAATATTTTTTTAGTTGTAGATGGACACAATACTTTTATTTATTTATTTTTATTTAGTGCTGAGGATTGAACCCAGTGCTTCACACATGCTAGGCAAGCACTCTGCCGCTGAGCCATATTCCCAGCCCCCCCCCCAAATCTTTTTACTGTTATTTTCTTTGAGTTCTTCCATCTATTCCTTCCCCTCCCAATGAACACATCTCCTTTGCCAGGGCTGGACCCATATTTGGAACTGAAACCTTATCATTTGGGGGGAAAATATTAAGGAAAAAYCCTGACAACACAACTGTAATAGTTATTGCAAGGGAGGCATCCTGAAGCCTCACCATAAGGTCCTGAATTTAAAATGGAAAAAGCCAGCAGGAACTTTATGATACACCCAAGCCTTATTTATCCTGGTGGATGGAGACCTGGGATACAGACCTGAAGTTTACACTGTTATGCTCGAATTTGGGACC